TTTGTATTTACCAACTAGGCTTTAGATGTTCTTACTAAAATCTTGATTTCTCTCTCATGCTTCATTAATGGGGTTTTTGAAAGTTTAAAGAGAGGGTAAATTTTATAAAGCAACAAGAGAGAGAGAGAGAGAGAGAGAGAGAGAGAGAGAGAGAGAGAGAGAGAGAGAGAGAGAGAGAGAGAGAGAGAGAGAGAGAGAGAGAGATTATATTAAATAATATATTTAATTTTATCTTTTCTTTTAGAAATAATACAAAACCTCATAAATGGTCTATGTGTCAAATGAATGATAAATATATTTTGAATATTTTAATAAAACAAGACTTAACTACAGAATAATAACAATGCGAACAATGAGGACCAAAAATAAAATTTTTTTGAAATCATATGAACAATTGACAGATTTTTTGAATTTAAACACTATATGTCAAATTTCTAAAAAACAATATCGCCATTTATGCAATTCACTCTTTAAGTTATTTGTCAGTCTTTTACATTATTAGAATTTCCAAACTACTACAATTTTACTATTAACTTCACAAAAAGGTATACATTTATCCCAATTATCGGGAAAAAAGGTCGATATAACACAAGCAAAATCTAATGGTTAAGAAATCCCAACAATGGCAAATTGGTAAAAACATATAAAATGCCATCTTAGCTGCAGGTATTTGTCTTGTTTAAAATCACAAACAATGACTTAAAAAAAGTTCACATTTATTATTATTATTATTATTATTATTATTATTATTATTATTATTATTTGCAATTTAACAGGCGTTTGCATTTTCCCTGCTTGTTCTTCATTTGGGTAAATTTTTTGACAAAGTGTCATTAAAGATAAATATATAAATTAGAGAAAATGACATATATATCTTATTAAGTTTTTAGGATTTACCAATTTAATCATTTAACTTATTTTGTGGCTTTATAAAGTAACGGAGTTGTAGGCAACCTATCTATTTAGTCCCCATACTAGTTTTAACCGATTTCCTTGCCACATCTACATTATTTGACACATCATTCTAGTCAACATTCAAACTTGGACCTTAATTTCGCGGTTAACTACTTTGAAAGTCAACACATGCTTCAATTCAACTTGCTACTGTACCAGCTCCTGCGACATCAACAAATACCACATCTGCACTCTTACTGTGTAACACCCCGAGTTCAGAAGTGCGAGTTCAGGGTTCTTAGTGTAAATAAGAAAGTCCGACTCGGCGAGTCGATGGATAAACTCGGCGAGTCGAGTCGCGATTCTGGTCACACGTTAAGTGACCAACTCGGCGAGTCGTAGGCTGGACTCGACGAGTTGGTGCTGAAGAGAGAAAACCCTAATCCCGGGGTTTGTGCCTTATATAAAGAACATAACACCTCTTCCCCAGCCTCTTTACCTTCCCTTTGAGTTCCAGAAGCCCTAGATTCGTGTGAACTTTCCTTTGTGAGAAATTAGAGCCTTGGAGGAGGGAATCTTGGAGGGGAATTGAAGAGCAAGAAGATTTGGAGCAAGGGGCTTTGCATAGATTTGGTTCATTCTTCAGTAGGAGCTTGCATTGGAGGTAATAGATCTGTTCTTGAGCTTTTATGCATCTAGATTTATCAAATGTGGGGTTTTTAGGGCATAAATGAGGTCCAACTCGAGTTTGGTGTAAGATTTAAGGTTGCAACCTCAGATCTAGGCTTGTAATGACCCTAGTAGCCATAAAATCTATGATCAATTAATAATACAGCGTATCAACGTTTTCTATATATTTTAATATTTTTATAAACCAAGAAATAAAAATAAAATGATATTAAATATTTAAATGAAAACTAAATATTTTTAATAGAAAATATAGCGACGGTACATATATCTACAACGACCATTGTTTCATGTATGTAAACAAGTATACACCAATCTGAAATGAAAATCTACACACACATCCAAAAATCTCATTCTTCCCACCACTAGAAGTTGTAGGGAAAATAAAGAGAGAATGAGGAAAAGAAAAGTGGTGAGTTGACAGTTGGGGTTGCCTGACGGTTGAGGCGAATGAGTATCTTCTGTGGTTCGACCAGGCGAAGACACACACACCAAAAAATCCAATTGTTCCACTAGAATTTTATGTACAAATATATTTGAATTATTTTTATGTACGAAAATATATTTGAATTATTTTGTTATGTATTACATTGGAATTTTATTTTATTATTATTATATCGTATTTGAAATCACTTATTATCAAGGTTCTAAAAAAAGTTCGTCATAGCGCGGCATAGCTCTGAAGCTTGTACATGCAGCCAAGTTTTACCAAAATGTCGCATTAACTAATATATGTGTTATAATATACGGTGATGTTCAATTAGTGTTGTAGATTGATGTTGACTGAATTGAGAACTTAAAACCGTACATAAAAGAAATTTCATGCAACTTTTACGCCTCAAAGATAGAAAAGAAAAAAATAAAAAGTACATATAGGCCCTTCTTATTTACCAAATCATACTTTGTTCCTATTATTTGATTGTAGGTCTATATAAGTGGAGAATAACTTTCTATTTTTAACATTTTCTTTGACTTTTTGTTTATTTGTAAGATTTGTTTAGGATAAACAATAAACAAAGGCAAAAAAATTACTCTTAACGGTTGTGGTTTTAGAGCAAACAAATATTGAAAGAAAAATATTAATATTGTAATTTGTAATTGTGATTTAACTTTTATTTTTTTGTTTTAGATTTTGATGCACATTATGTTTTTGTTTAACATTATTATAATATTATGGTTGTGTGTTTATTTGCATATTATGATTTTGATACACATTATGTTTTTGTTTTAGATTTTGATTAAGATCTTTCCAAAAAAAAAAAAAAAAAGGAAACGTGATTCAGGGGAAAAAAATCGATATATGCTTAGTGCTAACTATGATATTTTCGTTTTTTTTTTCCTAGCATTCAAAATAGTAACATGAAAGGGCTCCATTTTTTTTTTTATCTTTTCTCTTAGCCATTGATTCATCTTGATCAATCCTAATTGTTATCTAAATGTTTTCATTAAATATCGAATATTATTAACCATACAAATTATTATAGTATCAACAGAAAGAAATTTTTTAAATTAAAATTATTGAAAAGCTAATTAAAATCATCTATGTCACAAGAAAAATTGAATAGTTTGATTATATTATGCATTGAAAAAGATATGTCGGGTAAAATTGACTTTGATACTATTTATAGTGATTTTGCTTATAAAAAACTCGTAAGTATATTTTTTTTTTTAGTTTTTCTTTACTATGTTTATGTAATAGGGTTCAAAACATGTTATAGCATTTTTATTTTGTTTTATGTATTAATAGTTTTAGGTTTTTCGGTTTTTAAGGCTTGTCCCAAAGTTTTTTTGTTTTTTTTTTCTTTTTTGCCGTTTTCATAGGTGGGAAGTCCTCAGACTGAATTAATATTTTGTTCTAATTAATAAAAAAATTCGGAGGTCACACCCTCCTTTACCAAAAAATATATATCTATAATGTAGGCCTGTTTTTTTATTTCGCCCTGGCTCTCAAACTGTCTTGGAACGACGCTCCATGTTAGACACTCTAAACCAAGCTAAATGTGTAGAGAAATAAAAAAGAAGCAAATTTTGAAATGATGACCTTTTTTAATTTCTTATCTTAATTGACGATTTTTTAGTTTCATTCTTTGAGTATTAATAACTTGTTTCAACATAGAAAACCATGAATATATGTTAATTTCAAGTAGAACTAAAAAATGTCTTTCAGCAACACAACCACACAGCAAATCTGAAACTTATATTCCGGTTCGAAATATGACAAACTATTCTGGAACGATGTGTGGAATGTTTTGTTTCAAGCTCATGTAAGCAAAACTCAAAAACATTACCAATAATAAAGACAAGTGCGATATAAGACCATTATATATTGACATTTTGATGAATAAATGACGAATCCAAACATATCTAAAGTAGGGTTACCGATTTTTTCTTAAAGGGGAATATTGTTAACGAAAATGAAATGAACATTAAATAAATCTTGAATGACTTGTTCTAGACTAGCCCGCATCAGCCGTCCGAAATAACTCCAAATAACTCAATGACTTTATGTCACCTCACAAACTTCATGTAATTTCTCATTGGAATGAATCAAATTTCATATACCATTACCTTGACGTCAAATCTCATAAACTCAATAACTATTCCAAAATATTTCATGATAAGTCGTTTTTCTAAGAATGATATAGACGGTTATTTTTGTTATTTATCTCCTTTTTAATGGCTAGTTGACATGCTCTAACAAATTAAAGGGTAAATAACCCCACTAGTTTCCACTTTCCACGCTGCTGTGCAGCCAACCAGAGTGTCATCCCCGAAACTTCGGTTTCAAATTTGGTAGGCATTGCGTTGACTCCACAATCTACATACCTATTTAACTTGCAGCCACTCAATAGAAACCCAAACACCCAATTCTAAGTACCAATTTCCTGATTCTATAGTCTACACCCCACCTACCAAATCATCACTACAGTCGCATTCTTCTCAAACACATAATTCTAATTCCCTGTGTGTAAAGCGAGAAAAATTTACAGATGGAAGCACCTCAAGTCGAAGCCATGGAGACCACAAGCACGAACAATCCTCCAGAGGATGATTCACAAGATAATATCATCGATGCCTGGTAATATCATCGTATCGTATTGCTATTTTCATTTGATTTCACTAATTTCGATGCGTTCAATCTCGATTATGTTAATTCTAACTATCACTTATTACCAGTTGTTCATGCGTCTACGATTGCACAGAGACCTTGTTTGACTACTTGTTCTGTGGCCTCTGTTAGATTCATCGATCGATAATTTAACTTCTCATGGAGCTTACAACTGATTATTCTAGATCCGAATCAGGATGGATAATTTTTCTCTGGAATTTTTCCTCAATTAAGCAACTTGTTTTCTCTACTCTTTGAATCGTTGATTCGTTGTTATTACTACGTGTTTTGTGAATACTGAATGGAGTTCCTAATTACCAAATGTGATACAACGAATTAATCGGTCTGGTTTAGCACACTAATTCAAGAAATCAGGTATAGAAAACTGTTCAACCGGAGGGATTTACAATTGGATGGGAAATTCGTTAAAATACAGAAACACAGGATTCAAATTATAAACTCTGTTATTGACCTTTGGCCACATTCCGACTCGATGCACCTTGCAACACCTTCACAAATCCCAGGTAAGTCAGCTTTCCATCCGTCTGCCTAATCAAATCCTCTACAACATCTCTCACAGGAATTGATGGGCTAAGACTGAGTTCCTAACAACAAAAAGAAAATACAACATTATATGTTTTTTTTTTTTTTTTCACTTTAAATTCTCAAAATTTCTCAAAAATAAGAATCTACTTACGGAAGCAAGTTCTTCTACCACAATGGATCTGTTACCATCTTTCTCGAATATTTCATAAGCGGTTTTAGTCTGTTCATCCCATCGATCATGCCCCTCAAGTTGATGAACACGAAGGGCAGCTGCACAGAACTCCTCAAAGTCCATCCTCCTATATTTAAGTTTTCCAAGCTGCAACATAACCAAGGGTAGAATAGTCATATCATCATTTTGACAGTTTACTGGATTAAGATATAGATAGGCCTTTTATATACAAGTACTTTATCTAGATAAAAGTTATTACTCATTCACCCATTTAAATATTGGACAGATTCATACCGATTCTAGGAAATCATGGACAGATGATTCCTTCATTGCATCCGTAGAGTATTTCGTTAATGCCTGACCCATTGACAAGAAGTTAATTATAATCATTAACCACAACATTTGACATAATTAAATGGTGATAAAACGATTAAAATCATGTGTTAGTTACAAACCATTTTAAAAGTCTCTACGCTTATATATCCGCTATTATTCGGTTCCAATAGCGAAAACTGCTCTTTCAAGTAGACTAGATCATCAAAAGTTACGGTCTTTGATAGAGCCTATAGATTAAAAGCAACAAAATTACTCTTAGTATAATGGTTTCCGAATATAATCAAGCAACCTACTTTGATAAATTACACACCTGTAAAGTAGCTTTACGAAGACTCGAAGAACATATATAACGTTTCACAAACCTCAGTATTGATATATCAAATGGCGGTTTTATTTCGTGACCATTTCGAATCCATGGATGGCCTACAACATTTTTTATACATATTCAAGATCACAATCAGAAAAAGAATGGTTACTTTACTTATTCAATATAAAGAGAAATTATAAATAGATATAGATGCTTACATAAGGCTTGGACGGCTGTTAATCGTTTCCTAGGATCCTTGATCAATAAACTTTTGACGAAATCTTTGGCTTCGAATGATAGTTTAGACCAACAAGTTTCGTTAAAACCTGGTTCGTTTCTTAGAACAGCTCGAAAGATACCAGACTCAGTACGACCCCAAAAGGGGCGGTTGCCACATAAAAGAACATACGCTATAATGCCAGTGCTCCATACGTCGGCTTCTCTACCGTATGATCTTTGTAGAACCTCTGGAGCAACATAGTATGCACTACCAACAATGTCATCCAATCTTTCATCTGCAAAAGGGTTACTACTAGTAAAGTCTAGTTTGTAACAAAATAACGATGCTTCTTTACCACATCTAAGGTGTGGGAATTATGATAGAGAAAGAGATCGGTGAGAGAGATGAGAAGAGAAAAAAAGACACTTGAATGAGAGAGAGGAGTGCGGCAAAAATTGGGAGAGGTACGGTCTAATCGTACCCAAGACCGCATAAGGGGGATGGTGTTCCCCGCCTATGTGCCACTGAGTGCGACCAAACCGTGATTCACTCCTTTAAGTCTAAGTTCTACCAAACAATAACAATAATAATAATAATAATAATAATAATAATAATATAAATGTGACACGGGAATGGAGATTGGAGCAACCCAAGACAACCTTTTGTCGCTTACTTAACCCCATCGTCATGACCATTTCATCATTTTTCTAAAAGTGAAGTAAATGTTTGGTTTATTGAGTACAATTTTTTCAATTTCAATCCTGAAATGTTTTCTTTAGCAATTTTGGTAATCATTTGAGGTTATGAAATATCTTTTGTTTTTATTCCAAGTAAAATGATTATATTTTTTTTATAAAAATGTCAACATTAGCTATACTTAGAGGCCAAAATAGTCATTACCAAAAACATTGATGAAGAAAAGCTAAAAAAAACCTCAAAACCCAAATCGCAAGATTTAAAAAAAAAAAAAAAAAAAAAAAAACACATGTATACATAGGGACCAGAAATGTAGTTTACAGTTTTTTTTTTGTTTTACATGTAATTGTACCTGGACTTATGAAGTCCGACAAACCGAAATCTATGACCTTCAGTTCGGCATCTTTGTCTTTCGATGCATATATAAAGTTCTGATTCAAGAAACAATTAAGATAAGATGTTATATAACCCAAATATATATATATATATATATATATATATATATATATATATATATATATATATATATATATATATATATATATATATATATGTTCAGGTTCATTTGAAACCATTCTAATTTTGTGAGACCGTGAGACCAAATCTAAAAATAATTTTAAAATGCAAAATAAATGGAAAAATCCAAAAATTCTTTTTTTAAATATTATTTTCGGAACTTGAATTAACTAAAAAAAATATAAAAAAAATTCCGTTTTTTTTTTTTGAAAAATACGTGAAATATTCTAAATAGAATATTACACTGACATATTCTAAAAAATAATTTTAAAATGCAAAATAAATGGAAAAATCTAAAAATTCTTTTTTAAATATTATTTTCGGAACTTGAATTAACTAAAAAAAAAATTCTATTTTTTTTTTAAAATACGTGAAATATTCTAAATAGAATATTACACTGTACATATTCTAAAAATAATTTTAAAATGTAAAATAAATGGAAAATCAAAAAAATTCTTTTTTTAAATATTATTTTTGGAACATGAATTAACTAAAAAAAATAAAAAAATGCGTCTTACGGTCTCACAAAATATAGGTGGTCTCAAATGAACCTAACCCTATATATATATATATATATATATATATATATATATATATATATATATATATATATATATATATATATATATATATATATATATATATATATATATATATATATAAACAAAGAAATGTTTTTTAAACATTTAATACATTTGTCACTTCTTATAAAAATGTTATTAAAAATTTAGATATTTTGTAAACATTATTTATTTACTTAATATAATTGATACATTATGTAAATAAAACATCGGACCTCAGGTTTTAAGTCCCGATGAACAACACCTTGAAGATGACAAAAGGCAACAACAGTTAATATTTGTATCAATAAGCTTTTAGCATCATCTTCCGGAAATTTCCCTCCCCTAAGAAAAAAATGACAAAACTGTAAAAATCTCTTGTTATTTGCAATTTTCTTTGGTTAACGTCAAGAAATCTTTCAATTTGCAAAGATGGTCATTATTTGAGGGTTTTGCTCTGATTTTTGTTCCTAAAATTAACTATCATTAGTTTTGGTTTGTTAAAATTAGTCAAATGACAATTTATGCAAGTTTGAAAGATTTTTAGACCATTTTAGAATCATATATTATAATTTCCAATTGATAAATACACACACCTTGAAAGTATTCTATCTAAAAGCACCCCTCCTTCACAAAACCTACAATGTTTTTCATATAACTTTATAAGAATACATTGATTTTGTAATGAAACATTATACATGAAAGATTAAAAAAAAAAAAAAAAGTATAACCACATGACTTACTCCATTACGAGGTATACATTGTCATGGTCCTCATATGCATCATAAAATTTTATCAGGTGGTCATGTCCTGACAGAGCTTTTAGTATCGTTACCTCCCGTCGAACATCATCAATGGCAATGGCTGTTGTCATCTGAGGAGATGGATTCAACTTTAGTCATTGAAAGATCAAACATTAAACGTGTCGTGCCAAATTGTGCATGACTATATTTGTGGAATAATTTGCACAAAGAAGAATGAAAAAGAATCACCAAAGAAATATGGAATTCTTATCGATATATGACATATATATAAAAAACCAAAGAGATACAATAAAACTAGAATATTCTTATGTGCGCTCATATCTATGTGTGGTAAGAGTGGAAGAAAAAAAATACATTTTGACTTAATGTTCACTTCTTGGATATTGGGATCCTATACTTATCCCTTATATACAAACTAGCCCTTATGCTTTAATATAAGTCATCGAAAATCCCTACAAAATCCCACTTTGACATACAATAAAGTCAACTCGTATTTTCAATGCACCCAAAAATGAAAGTATAAACTTCCTTACCGAAACCTTGCATAACTAAAGAGTATCCACTCTAAATTTTTTTTTGAGTCAATTAACTCTTTTACACCAATTAAAACATCTAGAAATTTATATTTCTTTTAACGGGTGCACATACACTCACTAGTTTAGTCATAAATCGACATATTTCGTTAACAACAGGAATTAAACCCTCAACTTTTAGCTAAAATGCTCATATCCGTCAATTTCTAATACCGTTAGGCGAAAGACCATTTGGTTTACCAACTTCTTATTGATCTCTACCAAACATTTTGCCAACCATAACATGCTTATCAAACCCCTATAAACCCTAGGCATATATGCTTAGCGGATACTCCAAGCCGTATATGAAACATTAATGTCGACAAACACGATTCTACATCTGAAAAACAAAAAACCCCTCTGGTTAAACCCTTGTGTTTCCTTTGTTAAGCTTACCATAAAGAAACTTACAATGTTACATTATGGGTGAAAACATCGATTTGTAGTTGAACCATACCATTCAACTAAAAAAAATATAAGCCATAAATCGTATCCATGATTGCTCTACCTCTCCGATCATCGCCTTAACCTATAGACATGCACCTTTCAAAACAACTACCTCCCAACAAGCAGCATCCTTCAATTGAACCTCGTATGATCCTATTTCCTCAAACTCCCAACTGATGGTCTAAATTGCCTTTTGGACATATCTCGAGCAATCAAAGAACAACCTTCTTCGACTCCATCTTTAGGAACATCCTCATATAAGCTCAACACTAAAGACTTAAGGTTATGTTGAAAAATTCCTTAGCTAGTTTCCTTGTCCATCTTCGTATTAGTTTGAACAACGTACTTTCCATTATTCGATAGCAGCTCAAAGCCGCCATCCTCAACCTATTTAGAAATGCCTTCCACCATCCTTGTCATACCCGAAGATCCATCTCAATGGGCTATTAACTTCTCATTAAACCTAACATCCTAGCTCAAAACATATGCCTCTTAGATGAGGACCAAACTCGGTATCCCTTGGCATCGTCACCATAAATATATTGCATCATTCGTATCATGTGTATATAAACCATATCACCCATACTTTTGGGCCTCTCATCAACGAGTGGAAGCCATATTCTTTGTTTCTTTACCAACATCCTTACCTTGAATCGAATCTTTACCTACCATTGACCATTTTTTCGCATAAATATATTGATTACCAATGGAAGAACCACCTTCTATTTTGTAAAATAACTAAGATTGGTGTAATATTCTTCAACCAAAAAACTCAATTAATACACTTCTTTGATCCAGTGACTGCATTCTTTAATGCACCTTTCTTGATCAATCAAAAAGATCGCAACTAGTGTTGTCAAACCCTTCTAAACAAATAGAAGATACAACTTCCAACTGCTAGTTTAGTTAAAGATGTCTTAAGAACCTATCACATCATATTATACTATAAAAAATACATTTTTCCTATCATCATATGCATTTGAAATTTCCACACTTTTAAATTTTCAACTTAATATAATTAATCTATTAATTTAAAATATGTTATTAAATCTAAAATATTATCTTAATATTGATAGATTTTAAAAATGATTATTTTAATACATTTATTTTTTAGTTTAGATATTATGTTAAGTTCATAACATAAATTAAAATATAAAACAAACTTAAAAATATATTCATATTTTTCAATTTAATAAAAAATGTTTAAATAATTTAAATATAAAACAAGTCAAATTAAATAAAAATATCAAACTAATTTTTATTATAATTCAACTTTTTCTTATAAGTGGTTTTTAATTAAATGACATAAAAATTACATTGGATTAACTTATAGACGATGATTTATATATCTTTTAATCATCATGGTCAATTTTTTTTTAACAAAAATCAATAGATGTGCAATTTATAAAGTAATCAATCATAACTTTAAATTGTAATATTAAACTGAAAATCATGTTCAGTTTTTTTAAATACAAACCGCATGTAAATGTTATTGAATGATACCATTATGATATATATATATATATATATATATATATATATATATATATATATATATATATATATATATTGTTGGATTAGTGTTTAAGTCCATAACTATTTTGGTATGTACTTGACCCGATGGTGCATGGTCCTTTTGGGTTGCCTACACCGAAGCAACTTGATTGGAGAAATATATATAGAGAGAGAGGATAATATGATTTATTAATATGTTATAAGAATAATATATTAAAGGAGAAATTATATTTGTTTAATTATTATTGGTCAATAATTAATTAAGAATTAATTTTGTGATCAAGTGTAATTAATTAAACTAGAGGGGCTGAATTGTAATTATGTGATAGTTACAAAATAAGGTAAGGATTATCTTAAATATATGGTGAACGAATTTAAGGTGATAATGCCTTAAAATTCGACTAGGATAAGGGTTTCTAAGACTTATCTTATGGTTGCTTGGTGGACAAGCAACTAGATAAGGATAAGGACTAAAACCCTAATCCTAACCCTATATAAAGACCCCTAAGGCCTTAGAATTCGTGGACTTGATCCCTAGAGCATCTAAGGACGAATTCTAACCTCTTTCCTCTTTATTTATACCTTCTCCATTTGCTCTTGGTGCTTGTAAGCCATTAGAGGAGTGATACTTGTGACTCTAAGCATTCCAAAGTCATTACAAGGAGATTTGGGATTGTTATTGCTACATAACAATCAAGGTATGATCTTAAACCTAATTACATATTAATATGATTACTTGAATGCTAGAATTAGGGTTTATAGTCTAGGATTCAAAGCATGTACAATAGAGAAACCTAGATCCAAGCATTAGGGTTTGTATGAGCACATAGGATGTCTTATGACCAAAACCCATCAGTGGTATCAGAGCCATTGGTTTTGTTTTCAATTAGCATGATACAAATGTATGAACTTGAAAAATTAGGGTTTATGCCCAATAAACCCTAGGAAGCTTGGATTTTCGAAATTAGGGTTCTTGAACCCTGATTTTCGAAATTGGTTAGGGTTTCCTAAACCCTTTCCTTAGCCACCAAGTTTTCGAATTCTAGGGTTATCCAACCTTTAATTTTCGAGATTAGCCTCCTCCCCAAGATAAGATCCTAATTTTTAGGGATTTGGATTATCCCATATCTTGTAATTATCCTTTAATGGTTATATATGGTAATTAAAGATTATGAATTATCCTATCCCATGATTTTCGAAATCTATAGAGATATTTAAGGGATTAGGATATCTTAATTGTTTAATTGGTAATTATCCTTTATGATTTAGATAATCCCTTATGATTTAATAATTTAAATTAATAGTTTAAGATAATTATTAAATCAAGAGTTTTAATATTTGAAATTTTAATTTAAATGGTATTAAATTTCGAAAATTTTAAAGTGATTTTGAAACCTAATTGTTTTGAAAAGTTTCAAAAACTTGCCCTCAAGTTTTGGAATTTAAATTTAGATTAAAAGTTTAATTTTAAAATGTTAAATTCTAAAACCCTAGTTTTGAAAAGTTCAAATTTCACCCTTATGGTTTTATTAAAATTGATTAAATGTATAATTAAGAGAGAGTTAATAAATCCATAATGTTATGGTTTACATTTAATTAAATTAAACGTGTAATTTATAAAATTAAACCACCTAGTATTTTAAAAGCGTAAAATACACCCTTATACTATGTATAACATTAAAAGTCTAATATTATATAGGTATAATGTAAACTGCTAGTCTTACCGTTAGTAGGCCTCATTCACGAAGCTAGTCTATAAGGGGTGTTTAAGGAAATTGCCTATAAAATGGCGATTGAGTGGGTATCCACTCTTACCCACCGCACTCTTGACTAGTGGAGGGTCGTTAGCCGAACGGGTAGGATAGGAAGAAACCTTCCATTATAAGTATAATGAAATACAAAGTAACTAAATGTTTTTCTAATTCCCAATCTTAGTTACTTAGGCAAAAGTGAATTGATGCAATTCCATAAAATTACACTTTGTGCCCTTGCGAAGACGTTATTGGAGCGTGTGTGGTTTACCGGCACACTAAATGGTTCTAAGCAAAGGTAGCAAAGGGTGACTCAATGTTTGTCATAGTTCGGTGGAGCATGTGTGGTTTACCGGCACATCGAATGGGTGACTGTAACATGTGAGGGCACCATATAAGTTTGCATGGTTATTCACACCCGCTTTGTGATCCTCGGCATCCCAGTCACAAACTAGAGGGGCATATCGAGATTTAAACATGCCATTGAAAGTTCAATGAATCTCAAAGGATCTAGGAGTTTTCATAGATTTAAAACTTAAATTTCTTTTTCATTTTTCATGGTGGAAATTAGTGAATCGTCATTCACTTACCTTCAAATATTCTGCAATTAGGGTTACAGCATCCCTCTCCCGAGTTGTAGAATATTGTGTTGGGTCCTAGCCTTAGTATTTCATTTGGGTGATTTACTAAGGACTCAATCTATCAACTAACTTGAATTCGTTCAACCCATTTTGTAGATGTCAAAGTTCGACAACTATGGTCTTCCCGAATCCCGTGGAACGAGTATTTCACATGAAGATGATATTCCACGATTCGATCGAGGAA